AAGAGGCCCAAACACGAGGATTTAGGAAAATTACCAACCCAGCTGTTAATACTTTTTTGTATCCAACTATAAGGAAATCTGATCTGGGCTTCTGGTGTTGCCCACTTCAGAAACAGAGAGTTGAGCTTCAGATCAGTATTTCAGTTCTGGGGTTCGGTGCAGGCCAGCTGCACTGGCGATCTAGGCCAAGACACTTTGCAGAAGGTGACACCCAGTCTGACATTCCCTGTGTTAGGTAGAGCTTCACCTTCTTATGTCTTCCAAGGTGTCTGGGCTGAGTCTTTCGTCTTGAGTCTTGGGAGGTGTCTGATAAAGAGGAGTCTGCATTTTATTCTAATCGGTGAATCACAGTAAATGAATAATGTGTCTTGCCGGATAATACTAAAAATTACTTTTGTTTGTCTACCTCTGTTGAGACTTCCTCTGTCATCATGTTTTATGTTAGCTATGAAATACTGTGGGCATAAAAAGTAGCCAGCTTACATGAAGCGTCTAACACCTCTTCCAGTACTGCACAAGAACTTCCATGAAGTTCAGTAATAAATCTGTGCTCTCCTTAGCTCCCATATTAATTCCTAGACCATTATTAAACATGCCCCAAAGGGAAACCGTGTCATCAACTCTCCTACATATTAATGAAAAGATGGTACTCTTCTGTCTGTAAAAGTGGCATACAAATGAGAGCTCTTGTGACTAATGGATGAAATACCAGTGCGGTGGCCCAATGTGCTCTTTTATTCTTCGAGGGAGTGATTAAATTAATAGACTTAAAAGCTCACACTAGCAGAATGAATTTTATGAAATTTATGAATCTGGAGTTTCTTTCCAGCCATTTGTGCTTGCACAAAATTGACGTCAGTTTGCCCAAGATTTAGTATAGAATCGGGTATAGCTCTGATAGGGAGACACTTCTTTAGACAAGTTGCTCTTATGGATGAAGCATGCTTAAATGTTTGCTTTCTCATCGATGTGCATTTACAGAGTATGTTTGTTTGATCACAAAGATCAAATCTCCTCTGTCCCTTCTCAAGGCATCCCTAGGACGCTGTCACTAACTGATCTGTGACAACATAAGGAATCTGGTGAAGTGAGAAGGGAGTTCAGGCAACTCTTAAATAAAACTTGACCTGCTTGGAGGAAAACTCCCAAAGAGTCAGCACTCTTCCTCTTTCAGCTGAGATCACTCTTTTTTTTTTTCTTTTCTTTACTTCACCAGCAAAAACGGGGAAAAGAATTGAAGCAGCAATATTTAATCTGTTTTTCCATTCCTGCCTATTAGGAAGTAAAATGGGGAGTTAACGCTTTCTTTTCCTGGTTTCATTATGATTTCTCAAGTGAATGGACCTGCTTTCTATCATTTAAAAACAGAGATGCGCATGGGTCAATATTCTCTTATTGTAATTCTGCAATGAAAATTGCTGCTGCTCTCTGGTTCTTAGTGACGTTTGCACCTGCCTACACACAAAAACAAGTGACATATATGAGGAGACATCGTTGTCAGATTAAACAATTGATACCGGTGTCAACAGAGCTTCCTAGGACAACTGATGTTTCTTAAGGCAATGGTTTTCAGATGCATCAGGGATAACACTTTCAAAGTGATCTATGCATCTTATGTTTCTTTTTAAATAAGCCAACTGCAGAAAAAAACAAAATCAGAACTAATTATGGTTTCTAATCAGTTTGTATAAAAGATCGAATTTTTAATTCATGTAGGTATCCAATAACATATTTACATAATTACTATGGGTCATATTTGATTTCCTTGATTCTACTTTGAATTGTGAAATATGGCTGTACAGGAAGGTCTTTTTTGAGGGTTTTTCCCTTCTCCTTTCAGCCTAGTCAAGGCTGTTCCACGGGATGAGGGGAATCTGTACAGTTTGAGGGGAAAAAATGATTTTTAACGTCTAAATATGTAAAAGTCTGGTGGGAAAGTGTTGACGCTTCTTTCTTGCTCTTTTCAGACAGACATCTGACACCAAAAAAAAATGCATATTGACAACAGAAACGGAGTGCGACGTCACTGATGCGCTCAGGAATGTAAGAGAGACCTATACAGCGCACATACTCTCTGTAACGTCCTCGCGGGTGGATAACTTTGAAGAACCACCCTTTGCAGTCTCTGAAAAATTTACACCTTATAATCAGAGTAAGTAGGATTGCCAGTTGAATCTTATCATAAACTTCCTTTCAGGATGATTACTTCCATTGACTTAAACGAGGTTTAGATTGGGCCCAAAGGTTTTTCCTGTAGATTCTTACGGTAGCCACACTGATACCTGGGAGGACAACATTCAGGCATAAAGCTTTCCCTGTTGTAGGGGAGCGTGTAACATTTTAGTTAGCATTTGTGTCTCACTGCAGTTGAGTAGACCATTTTATTAACATTGTGTACTGGATCATAGAATCATAGAATCGCTTTGGTTGGAAAAGACCTTTAAGATCATCGAGTCCAACCTTTAACCTAACCCTGCCATCCCACCACTAAACCCTGTCCCTAAGCACCTCATCTATCCTTCTTTTAAATACCTCCAGGGATGGGGACTCTACCACCTCCCTGGGCAGCCCATTCCAGAGCCTGACAACCCTTTCAGTGAAGAAGTTTTTCCTAATATCTAACCTAAACCTGCCCTGGCGCAGCTTCAAACCATTCCCCCTCGTCCTATCATCTGTTACCAGGGAGAAGAGGCCGACCCCCTCCTCACTACAGCCTCCTTTCAGGTAGCTGTAGAGGGCGAAAATATTTGTTAATGATGAAAATATTTGTTAATGATTCAGGGTTTCGCTGTATTACTTTGGGTCTGTAAACTTGTCGTAGGTTTGAGGCGGGAAGGGAGTGGAGGGAGGAAAAAAAAAGCATGTTGTGTAGAAAAGATGATGTCAGTTTTTTTAACTCTAAAAATGCTTGTTTAGCTGTTCTCGGAAAACCGGAGATACAGAATTATACACAGAAAGGTTCCAAACTGAATATTGTGCTCCGAGATCCACTTACACCATATACATTTCCTAACGGAAGCTTTCTAAGTATTCGAGATATTTTCCAACATGATCTGGAATACAAACTCTACTACTGGAAAGACCAAAGCTCTGGAAAGGTAAGGTCTAACTCCCCTTTTTACGTGGTCTGTAGCCATGTTATAGCTACACAATTTCTGTGCTACCTTAAGAGCTAACGCTTTTGCAGAGAACACTTCCTTGAAATACTTTCTTTTCTTTACAGAAATATGCAACAACAAAAAGCCAAAAATTTGAAATAAGTGTTGAGAGCACAACAAATTATTGCTTCTACGTACAGGGAATCATTCCCTCCCGCAGAGAAAATCGTAACGGTCTAGAAAGCACGGTGCTTTGTACCGGTATAGGAACAAATATCTTAAATGGTAGGTATCAGGTGAAGCTTGTCATACGGTCTGTAGCATTCTAAGAAAAAGACACTTCAATTCGGAGTATATTTTTATACCTCTTTAAATTGTGATGCCTCCTATAGAATAAACTATTTACTGTGTAAGTGAGATGACCCAGCCCGAACATGGAAACTCATGGCAGGAGCTCACAATAAGTAGGAGGCCACCATCTATGGCTAGTTGGAGCTGGTTTTAGGGGTTTGCTAAACTGTTTTGATTAGTTTACAATTGTCTGAGTTGATGACTGATCACTGAGGTTTCGGATCTCATCACTAGCCTTCAGCTTCATTTTTTTGTTTTCTGATTGTTTTCCTCTGATCCTTCCGATAGCAGGTCCCATAGTAAGTGCTTGAAGGATCAGCTCTAAAACACAGGAGCGCTGGAAGCCTACGTATCCGTTGGCTCGTAGTTTGAACTGAACGTTAGTTGTTATCTCAAAAGCAGATGATGAGACTTAAGACTTTCTTTACTGTTACATTACAAGGTCAGAGCTTGGCAGGTTGACTTCTTTACTGGTAAATAAGTCAGTGAGTGGTCGGTGAATCAGCCAGCCTAATTCCAGACAAACACTCCGGATAACACTTTCTTTGATATAAAGTCATCAATATTTATTAAACAGTACCACATTGCCGTACTGTATCTTTCTTCTCCACCAGATAAGAATATTTGCACTCTTAAGTAGAAAAGCTCTTCTAAAATTGGTAAATAAACTCTCTCAAATTAACATTCTTATCTGGAGATACATTTTTGTTCATCACAATAGCTGAATTCTGGCAAATTACAACTTGAATAGAATTCTCTTCTGTTGGTGTTTTCTAGCTTCTAGCCTAGAATAGATTTCCACTTGGATGTAGTTTCACAGAAATAATGCAGGGGTAGGGGGAATGGCTTGACTCATTTTTGTGGTGGTGGCATGGTATTTGAGTGCACTAACCGAACTAGATTAAAAACTAGCGTTAACCAGCTGAAATGAAGCTTTACCTCAGTTCAACAAATTCACATTAAAATGAATTCAGTTCACACCGAGGCAGTCGCTCCACTTCTGTGATCTTGTAAAATACAGAAAGCATTGTTTAGATCAGTTGAGTGGTTGCTAAGAGTTTGTAGCACTGTGACGTAATGGTTTCTGGTTACTGAATCTTGGCTTTTTTTCCCTCCCCTGCAGAATATGGAGCGGAAGTCTTTATCATCATAGCGGTGATAGCAATTGCAGTCATCACCCTTGCCATTGTCCTGTCGGTGATCCTGTGTAAATGCAAGAAAGCAAAAGCTGCAAGAGAAAAAGAACCGCTTAATGGTGTCTAAGGAAAAATTATTGTGGACACTAGGGGCAGTTCCAAAGCAAAAAAAAAAAAAAAAACAAAACAAAGCAAAACAAACATAAATTGGGAAATTGGGTGGAGCCTTTTAGCCTCTCTGATACAGGAATTTTGAAGCCCAAACTTTGTGTGGATTCAAAAATCTATTAGACGGTCACAGATGAAAAATCCAGATATCGGGAAGCCCCCGTGTCCCTCATGGCCGGGGGCTGGAAGAGTATTCTGGTGATCTGTTGCAATACCCTAACCCTGCTCTTCCCAAGCTCCTCCCATTGTCCTGTCTGAAACAGGATTCCGAACGAGATGGACCTTTGACTTGGCCAGGTACAGCCATTCTGAAAGCATGGCCTTACCGAGCCAGAAGATTTACGGTACTTGTGAGGGGAAAAAAACCACTACTTTTAAAAAATGTGTCCTTTACCCAGCTAAAAGGAACAACTTTCTGTTTCTATGAAACAAAACCTGTATTTATCTGACTTTCTTTTAACATTATTAACTGGTGAAATGATCTGTTAGTTCAGATGTGACAAAGATGCTACTATTATTTCTGCACTTCTTGGATAAAATTAACTTGGTCTATTTATCTTCAGATGTAGCTAAACAAAGGTAGACAAACTGAAACTACTGTACTGGCGACTTGTAAGGAACACTCGAAGTAGGGAGCTGCTATCCATCTGGAAGGCATATCCGGATTACACTACACCTAGAGTTACACAGACAGGGTAGCCTGATGGTTCCAAGTAAGTGCTAGAACAAATACTTTGCAGTTTTTGAGTCAGTAGTAACTCGCTTCCTGCAAGCACTGAGGAGTAGCAGTATTTACTGCTTTTTGAACATTATTTTTAATTCAGCGGTGAATGGATAGTTTACGTGGTATAGATTCAAATCATCTTGGTGATGGGATTTGGAGGTACTGTTGCTTTGACTGTTTTAATATTTATTTTATAAATTATAATCTAATTTTTATACTGGTGATACCTGTATTTGTGATGGTAATTTATACTTTTCTAATGAAATAAAGGTGACGGGGAAAATAAGACTTTCTCTTCCTTTTTAAAATCAAGTACAGCATTCATTCCAGAACTGAATTAAAAGCGCATTTAGGAAACTTAATCTTGTGACAGCAGTGTAGGCAAGCTGCCAGAAGGAAGGATAAAAATATGAGAAGCCACAGTTCCCAAACTGGTGAAAGGTTTTGAGGAGTCCTGAGCTGCTTTTCAACTGCCCACGTAGGTGAGCAATTATTCAGTGTTTGCATTCACAGTTTCTCGCTCTAATGGCAAGGGGAGTGTGGATGCTGCGCGTGGGGATCCCCACAGCGGTGCCCGTACTGCTTGGGGTACGATTGTTCGTTCAGGGCATTGCGGGGCCTGGCCTAGAGATGAGAACTGCTGCAACTAATGTGGGTACCTCCTGCTGCTGCTGGTGATAGGCACCACCACCCCACCCCCCAAAAAAAACCCCAAGAGAATGGAAAAAATGCATCTTGCAATTGGCACTAATTGGCTGTATATCTCAAAGCTTTATATGTGTCTTTCTTGAAGATACCCATTGCATTTATGAGAAGGAATAACATCATATAAAATTAATATCCCAATCTACCCAGTTTTACGGAATTATATTGTATGTTTTTCATCCCTACTGTACTACAGATACCTTAGCTGTATGGATTAAGACTCCTGTGAACATGTGAGTGTGGTTTACAGGGAGTTTATTTTTTTCTTTAATTCTCCTTTTTACAGACGGAAGAAAATAAACGCCACCACCCCCTCCCAAAAAATCCCATTTACTTAGAGTTGTGCAATAAATGCTTGATACATTTTCTGCTGATGCATAAGCCTTGTATGGAGGAGGAATATTACACCACCAATCAAAAATATGAGAGCTTGTGGGAGTAAATTCTAAAATATTCCGAAGTTGTCGTCATTACTTCCCTTTCCTGTCCTATTCTTGTTTCCTCGGCTTCATTCTGTGCCGAGCTCAGAAAAGGGAAGAGCTCATAGGAGAGGAAAAGCCTGTAGGTTACAGCATAGCTTTTTTAAAATTAGACCACGCAGATGATTGCCATAAGCTACTACACAGAAAGATGTTTTTTATATATATATGTGGGTTATATATATATATGGGGGTGCTGGTTGACAGCCAGCTTTAGGGGAGCCCTTATTGCTCCCTACAACTGCCTGAGAGGAGGGGGGAGCCTGGGGGGCTCGGTCTCTGCTCCCAGGGAACGGGCGATGGGATGAGGGGAAACATCCTCAAGTTGTGCCAGGGCAGGTTTAGGTTGGACTTTGGGAAAAATTCCTTCCCCGCAAGGGCTGTCAAACCCTGGAAGGGGCTGCCCAGGGAAGGGGGCGAGGCCCCACCCCTGGGGGTGTTCAAAGAACATTTGGACGTGGTGCTTTGGGACATGGTTTAGGAGGCAGGGTTGGATGGTTGGACTTGATCTTAAAGGTCTTTTCCAACCTTAATGATTCCATGATTCTATAAATCATGCTTCATTACTTAAGAGATTTTTGCTTTGTCCTGAACATAAAGGTTGTTTTTATTAAAAGAAAGAAAGAAAGAACAAACGCACAGAAATGCAAACAAGTGCTTTAGTGGCATCGGAGCGACCCACTACCGCACAAGTTCTGGAAAGCTGAAGCGCTTCTGTTCCCTGGCTGCCTGTGTTACCATCCAACAACGCTGAGTAACCAGTCACGGGGCTCACAGATCCCATTTCACAGAGGGGTTTTTTTGCTGTTTGTGGAGACAGTTGAGAAAGGGGCTTTTTATTGCAAACTTCTGGAAGTATTATCCCTTGGGTCAGTGTACTGAGCCCACGCAAAAATGTTTTCTGCAGAGATTTAACTTTCTCAGAGTATCAGGGTAGGGAAAAGGAGCTGTTGAATAAAGGTGTTGTCCCTAGGAAGAAAGACTACAAAATACACGTGGCCACAACAGCCCTGTACCAGTGTAAAAGGAAGCCAGAAAGGGGTGCAAGAAAGGGAAGGCTTTTCCTACGCCCCTAAGTTCCCTGGCTCACCTTCTAAGCAGGTTTCTGTAAGCCAGTGTGTTCCTACCGCTGCTCCCGATTCGCTTTGCTCCTTGTCCTCTGTTGCAGGAAGGGGTATCCAGCTGTTCGAAGTGGATAAAAACATCTGCACGGTTCCCCGACACAGTACTTGTGTCCTCTCCTCACACGAATCACTACGTAACATCGCACGCTGTAATAAGCCGCTTTCATTTTACAGAACTGCTTTAAACCCACATTCTTCTTCTTTAGGCGAGCAAATAAAGGCTGATGCTCTTCTGCTACTTTTCTGCCAGCCCTAACAGCATTACAGACAATAAAATTACTGCCATTACTTAAAATGAACAACTCTAGGGGACTTCATAAACATATACACGCTAGATATGGCAGCAAACAGCTCAGCTAATCTGTTTCTAGCGGAGTCAGCTTTCCCCCGTGAGAAGGCTGCTGCTGAGAGGCACGTACGTAATGATAAGAACGCGATTATAAGCTTAACTTGATTCTACTAGTTACGTGGCAACTCGGGGCAAAGCGTTTCTGCATTAAGTGAGGATAAGGAGCTGGGATAGATCACCTTCCTGGTTCAGTTTTGTTTATTTTGCAGGTTAGCAGTGATCGCTACATGGTTTCAGACCCCCGTAACACACAGGAACAAGTGGGCTTTGACAGCGCCAGACCCAAGAGTCAACTGAGCAGTCTCCTAATTACACAGTGTTTCTACACGTACAAATGACCGCGCTTTCTGTAGTCTATGTTTGTCACCGAGGGAGAGAGGAGACCCAGTGTTCATGTTTGAGGAAGACAGGAAAACACAAAAAAGCACAACCTGTGAGACGGGACAGAAGCAGGAACTGGCCAGCTGAAAATCTTTCCGCAACCATGAGGTGCGGCGTTACTGCCCACGGGCCACGCTCTCTCTGGGGCGGTACGTCCGTCCCCTTCACGAACAGAAACCGTCACAGAAAGCTGCTCTGCCCTTCTTTGCTGGTGTGTGTCCTCCAGTGCTCTACAGCAGGACTCTTACAAAAGCTCAGGGCATAACGACCGGGACAGATGCGCTGCAAATCTCCTCTTCCAACCACCTGGTGATGAGAAATCTTCCCACTAGTGAGATCCTTCTGCTTCTTCTGGCGCAGGCTCCCTTTCGGCCTGTATAACCCATCTCAGGATCCCACCAAGGAACATCTTTCCCTGTAATTCCTCGGCCTCTACCTGTAGCTGAATGAGTTCATACAACGATGTGCCTCACTCAGGTGATGGCTGCCAGCAAAACCTGCCAGTACCTGGGAACAAAGACCCCGTCACGCTGACCACCTCCAGGGCTTTTACAGCCACATCCTCTCTCATATCAGGCCTGGCCCTCATCTTGTCAAAATCTGTGCCCCATTAGTGCCATCCTTCAGCGAGTTTCTCCTGCCGGAAGCTCACGACATTTCTGCTCCTTACTTCCCCTGGCTCATTTGAATTGAGTATGAGGAAAAACTTCTTTACTCTAAGGGTGACAGAGCACTGGCCCAGGCTGCCCAGGGAGGTTCAAAGCCCGCCTGGATGAAGTCCTGTGTAGAATGCTCTAGGAGAGCCTGCTTGAGCAGGGGGGTTGGACTGGGTGATCTCCCAAGGTCCCTTCCAACCCTTGCCATTCTGTGATTCTGTGATTTGCTGAGGTTTCCATTCCTCTCCCCCATCCCCTACCCACTTCCATTCCCTCTCGTCCAGAGATGAACCCACTGTCTCATTTCCAAATTTTAGGATCTCATTTAAATGAAATTTAAAATGTAAAAGTAGGATCTCATTTAAATGAAAATACAGCACTGAATAAATATATATCCCTTAATCAACAGTCAAGAATATATTAATAGCATGGCACTATTTTATTTATTTATTTTTTTTTTTACTCTCTACAGCTTCCCTTGGTCACCATAATTGGATCAATAACTTCCAGAACATTCGCTAGCGCTGCTCCGAGTGCCTCT